GGTGCAGGGCGGGTGGCGGCGGGTGGCAGGGCGGGTGGCAGGGCGGGTGGCAGGGTGGGTGGCAGGGCGGGTGGCAGGGTGGCAGGGCGGTGGGGGCGTGGCAGGGGGTGGCAGGGCGGGTGGCAGGGCGGGTGGCAGGGCTGGTGGCAGGGCGGGTGGCAGGGCGGGTGGGAGGGTGGGTGGGAGGGCGGTTGGCAGGGCGGGTGGCAGGCGGTTGGCAGGGGGGTGGCAGGGCTGGTGGCAGGGCAGGTGGCAGGGCTGGTGGCAGGGCGGGTGGCAGGGGGGTGGGAGGGTGGTGGGGAGGGCGGTTGGCAGGGCGGGTGGCAGGGCGGGTGGCAGGGCGGGTGGCAGGGCTGGTGGCAGGGCGGTTGGCAGGGGGGTGGCAGGGCTGGTGGCAGGGCTGGTGGCAGGGCTGGTGGCAGGGCGGGTGGCAGGGTGGGTGGGAGGGTGGTGGGAGGGGGGTGGCAGGGCGGTGGCAGGGTGTGCAGTATGGGTGGCAGGCTGGTGGCAGGGTTGGTGGCAGGGCTGGTGGCAGGGCTGGTGGCAGGGTTGGTGGCAGGGCTGGTGGCAGGGTTGGTGGCAGGGCTGGTGGCAGGGCGGGTGGCAGTATGACGATCACGCTCGCAGCAAGGAGGAGCCATGGGGTACGATGCCCGGTGTGGGTGCCCTCTCCGAGTGGAGTTTGAACGCTCTCGCCCAGTTCTGATAGAGCAGCGTTCTTCACTCATTTTCAGAAGGGGGGCTCAACACTGCGCCTCCGATTAACACTGCCCATAGACTCAACACTACCCATAGACTCAACACTGCCCATAGACTCAACACTGCCCACAGACTCAGCACTGCGCTTCCGATTAACACGGCTGGTTACGTACGGTGCGAAAGAAGTTCAACGTACATACATACAAGCCGGGTGCGACTTCATGAAAAGGGAAGGATTTCTCCGTCTCTACTTTTTCATATCTTCTTACCGGGAACGCTCTCAATTGCCATCTATCCCCCCACGCTGCCACATTCCCTGATGAATGAGGATTCAGGATTGGGTCTCGCTAGGACTTGGGAATGACAGGTACTGTCAGTTCTAGATTTGAAGCTTTCTGTGACTGCAAGGATTCATACCTCGTAGGTTTTTTTCGGTAAAAAAAACGATAGAATAATAATAAATGAAAATAACTAAATTACATCACGACGTTTCGGAGGCAACGCAAGCTTCCTTCATCAGTTATTTTGCTGTGCATTTTTTTTTGTTACACCTGATGAAGGAAGCTTGTGTACCCCCGAAACGCCGTGTTTTAATTGAGTTATTTTTCGTTTATTACTATTCTATCTTTCGATTTTAAAGCTCTCGTGACTGCAGGGATTCATCTTCTGGTCTCTTTCGGTAAAGTCACTTCTACGTGACTTTACCGGGAAAGAACCAAGAAGATACTATTTCTATAATCATTTTCTTACCTACGTGACTTTACCCCAATAACACCTAAGAGCAGGCACCGTCAGGTCTGCTGCTGGCCTCGTGGAAGGCCGAGAGTTGTTCGCGCAGCACGGCAAGTGGATTATTGCATCCGTCCGTGCGGAGCTGCGAGTGGTCACCCCATCCTATGCGCGAGTTGTCAACACCGCGAGACGCCTCTCTGGATCCTGACCAGGAGGATTTGGTGGTGGCGGCGGCAGCGGCGGCGGCGGTGGCCGCCGCCGGCGGCGGAGACGGCGGCGCTACCGGCGGTGGCAGCGGTGGCGCTACCAGCGTAGGGCTACGGGCGGCGGTGCAAGCGCTCCGCCGGGCAGGCCGCGCCGTGGGGGAGCGCGTCACGGCGCTGTACGCGCGCATCCTGCGCGAGACCGTGCTGGATTGGGCGGTGGCGGCGGGGACTACGGCGGTGGCGGTGGTCAGAGTGGGTCTAGGCAAGGCCGCACCCTCCACGGCTCGCTCGGAGCTGCACAAGCGCGTGAGCGAGCAGGAGACGCACAGCCTGGGCCTGCACGGACACTACGTGCGCATCCAGAGCACGTGAGTCGAACGCGCTGTGGGCCCACAACGGATTGCAAACTAATAAGACAAATTTTTTGTATTTTACCAGGTTAAGGCCCACTGAGCTATGAAGCTCTTTTTCAGAAGTGACCTCGCCACAATTGATAGCTTAACGAAGAGGATATCATCAGCATGTGGAAACTTATACTCTAATCCGCACGTTTTCTAAATGCGGAGGGAAAAAACCAGAGGACCCAGAGAAAATCCACGCAACCACGGGGAGAGAAACGCAGCAAACTCCAAATATACAGCAAGCGTTAGAGTCTGGATCAAACCCACGACCTCCTGTACACCAGGCGAGGTAGTTAACATCTCCTAGCCACCGTGATGATGATGAGAGAGAGAGACACGCAAACTCCAAATATACAGCAGCAGGCGTCAGGGTCTGGATCAAACCCACGACCTCCTGTACACCAGGCGAGGTAGTTAACATCTCCTAGCCACCGTGATGATGATGTTGAGAGAGAGACACGCAGACTCCAAATATACAGGATCGCCACCTCCACTACTGCCCGTCGCACCCAGGCAGTAAAAGCCAGGAGACGGCCACCTGCCCATGCACGCGACGATGGTTGGTGGCTCGCACGCACGCGCTTCACCCACCAATCCTTGCCACCCGCTCTCCCCCCCCCACCCCACCCCGAAACCCGTGCAGCTACGACGCGCTGTCGGAGACCGTCGGCAACCACACGGGCCACGCTCGCCCTGCCTGGGCCTGCGCTGCTGCCACCAGCGGCCGCTCGACGCCCAGCAGCCGCCACCCGCCCCCCGACCCTCGCCAGCAGCGACCATCGTCACTGCCCTCGGCGGAGCGAGGGGCTGACGGGTGGCGGCGGCGCCGTCGCGTCGCCGATCCCCTCGCCGGACCGCGCCTGGCGTGCGACGCCAAACGGCGGGGACTCTGCCGGCTCGGAAACTTCGTACGGTTGCGGCAAAGGAGGCGGAGGCGGAGGCGGAGGGAGGTGGTGACGCGGCGGGGAGATTGGCGACTGGAGAACGGGAAAAGGAAATACGCGGAGAGCGAGCGAACCCCGGCGCTGGCGACGCAGACGGCACGACGGCAGCACGGGGCCGGCGCATGCTGGGCGGGGAAGCAAGGTGGCGCGCATGCCGCTTGAGGCGGGCGATGGCAGGGGGGGGGGTCACGGTTTGAGCCGACCTTAGAGATCACAGGGAATTTCACCCTTTCCCCCGTTCCGAGTCGTCTGCGAGTCGCCAGGGTGTGGGAGTGGGGCGTGCGGGCTCCCGTTCAACGCCGAATCTAGAAAAAGCAAGCGAGCGGACGGAGTTCATTGTATTTAGGAGAGAGGCGTAGCACAGCGGGCAGCAGCGCCGCGTTCTAAGACGCCGTTACTCACCGCAGGGGCAACCGTGGCAACACGGACCTCCGCGCTACGATGGCCAGGCCCAAAACCCTGTGCCGGCGGATCCGCGCTCTCGGCGTGTCCCTTGCGGCAGCTCCTGCTTGGCTTCCATTGACTAGAGCCATTTATGTATTTTCGTTTTTCTTCCAGCGCAACGACACTCATAACCCGATGTCTCCGTAAAGTTCTCACACCGCCTTTGTTGGCAATGGCGCCGGTGCCGAACGGATGCTCCGAATGTGTCCCCTGTCGCTCTTCAATCCCAGGGCTGTCCGCCGTCGGCGGCGGAGGCGCGAACTGGGCGCCCGGGGCAGTGGACGGTGGCCGGGAGGTTGGGAATCGCGGCGGGGGGGGGGCGGCCGCCGCACCGGACAACGCGGTGATGCGGCACGGCTCCCGCGACGCGGCCGTGCCGCCCGCTGAAGCCGGACGGGTGGCGGTGCGGGCCACGTAGAAGCCCACCGTGGTGCTGGAAGGTGAACTGAGCCTCCTCTCTGTGCGTCGCTGTTCTTCTTCCCCCCGAACCCTCGATGAGCGCGTTCGGCTATGTGCGGTGGCGCCAACATCCACACATCGTGGACAACTAATACCACTACAGATACCAATAACACGTGGCACCACTGACGATGCTGCTGCGCTGCTGCTGCTGACACTGCTGGATGATGACTATGGAAATTGACTGCTGATGATGCCTATGGAAACGACACTCCTGATGATGCCTATGCAAACGACACTGCTGCTGCCGACACTGCTGCTGGCCGACACTGCTGACATGACTGACACCCGCCGATACCAACGAAGCTGCTGCTGTTGCTCACACCACTGGTAACGATACCGCCGGCCCACGACCCCCCGCTCCACTAACACCACCACCGCCCCCAGCCGCCGCCCACCCTTACCGCGGCCCCCCGCTCCACTAACACCACCCACCAGCCGCCACCCTTACCAGCGACCCCGCTCCCACTAACACACCACCACCGCCGCCACCCTTCCGCGACCCCGCTCCCACTAACACCCACCACCACCGCCGCCACCCTTACCGCGGACCCCGCTCCCACTAACACCACCACCACCGCCACCACCCTTATCGCGACCCACGCTCCCACTACACCACCACCACCGCCGCCTACCACTTACGCGACCCCGCTCCCACTAACACCACCACCACCGCCGCCACCCTTACCGCGACCCCGCTCCCACTAACAACGCCACCGCCCCCACCGTCGCCACCCTTACCGCGGCCCCGCTCCCACTAACACCACCACCGTCGCCACCCTTACCGCGGCCCCGCTCCCACTAACACCGCCACCCCCGCCACCACCGCCACCCTTACCGCGGCCCCGCTCCCACTAACACCACCACCGTCGCCACCCTTACCACGACCCCGCTCCCACTAACACCACCACCGCCACCACCGCCGCCACCCTTACCGCGACCCCGCTCCCGCTAACACCGCCCCTGCCGGTCTCCCGCGTGTGGCAGGGCCGTGGCGCGACTGCCAGGAGGCGTGGGATGCCGGCTATCGGCGCTCGGGGCGCTACCTGCTGCGCCCGGGCCGCCGGGAGCCCGCTGCTGCGGCACGCGTGGTGCGACCAGGAGCGCGACCCCGGCGGCTGGACCGTGGTGCAGCGGCGCAGCGACGGCGCCGTCTCGTTCGCGCGCGACTGGGACGCGTACAAGGTGACGGGGGGGGGGGGGGACGATTCCCGACTGTGTTGAGTCTATGGTGCAGTGGTTGAGTCTATGGGCAGTGTTGAGTCTATGGGCAGTGTTGAGTCTATGGGTAGTGTTGAGTCTATGGGCAGTGTTGAGTCTATGGGCAGTGTTGAGTCTATGGGCAGTGTTGAGTCTATGGGCAGTGTTGAGTATATGGGCAGTGTTGAGTCTAATGGGCAGTGTTGGAGTCTATGGTTAGTGTTTGAGTCTATGGGCAGTGTTGAGTATATGGGCAGTGTTTGAGTATATGGGCAGTGTTGAGTCTATGGGCAGTGTTGAGTCTATGGGCAGTGTTGAGGTCTATGGGCAAGTGTTGAGTCTATGGGCTAGTGTTGAGTATATGGGCCAGTGTTGAGTCTATGGGCAGTGTTGAGTCTATGGGCAGTGTTGAGTCTATGGGCAGTGTTGAGTATATGGGCAGTGTTGAGTCTATGGGTAGTGTTGAGTCTATGGGCAGTGTTGTGTCTATGGGCAGTGTTGAGTGTATGGGCAGTGTTGAGTCTATGGGTAGTGTTGAGTCTATGGGCAGTGTTGAGTGTATGGGCAGTGTTGAGTATATGGGCAGTGTTGAGTATATGGGCAGTGTTGAGTCTATGGGTAGTGTTGAGTCTATGGGCAGTGTTGAGTATATGGGCAGTGTTGAGTCTATGGGTAGTGTTGAGTCTATGGGCAGTGTTGTGTCTATGGGCAGTGTTGAGTGTATGGGCAGTGTTGAGTCTATGGGTAGTGTTGAGTCTATGGGCAGTGTTGAGTCTATGGGCAGTGTTGAGTGTATGGGCAGTGTTGAGTCTATGGGTAGTGTTGAGTCTATGGGCAGTGTTGTGTCTATGGGCAGTGTGTATGTTTTAACTTGTTTCACACCATACGTAGCCAACCGTGTTAAT